AGCGTAATGGCTATGTCGCTGGACTCCCACGTAGTCGACCGCGGTTCGTGTCCCGGACCCGGTGGCTTAAAACTCACGCCGGGCGCGTGTGCGTGCGTGCCCAAGATCCCGAGAGGAGAATGGAGGAGAAGGGATTGCGGCGTGACCATCCCCCCTGGGGGGTGATTTCTCGCTTTCTGTCTCTATGTCTCTTTCTGTCTGTCTGGCGAGCGCACGTGCCCTACAGTGAAAATCTCTCCAAAAAAAAAAAAAAAAATGAAAAGTCTGAGGTCATATAAGGCCATATCACTAACAGTGGTGAACTCTGACATTAGAATTTGACATCAAATATGGATAGAGATAATCTAAGAGGAAACTTGTACATTTCATTTTATGTATTTGTGTATTTTTAAAGCTTTTCTGCAAGCATGTATTTATTTGTAATATATAAGTGTACTAGTACTGTGAACTAGTTATACTATTCCTTAACCCTGTCAATCTACTCCAAAGGTGTCAGGCAGCAAACAAGACTTGCCCCACAAATTACATATGGAACAATCATTTCTGCAGATGCCTGGCTCAGCAAGATTTTATTTTTTCTTCCATTGCTGAAGATGGTAAGGAGAATCAATGATGTTAAATGGAAAATGCTTTTAAATGTTTCACACCACACCCTGAACCAAGTAAGATATAGTAAAGATAACTGTGTGTTTGTCTAGACTCAACAGATGGAGTGCATGACATCTGTGGGCCCAATAAGGAGCTGGATGAAGAGACCTGCCAGTGTGTCTGCAAAGGGGGACTTCGGCCTTCCAGCTGTGGACCCCACAAAGAACTAGACAGAAACTCATGCCAGTGTGTCTGTAAAAACAAACTTTTCCCCAACTCATGCGGGGCCAACAGAGAATTTGATGAAAACACATGCCAGTGTGTATGTAAAAAAACCTGCCCAAGAAATCTACCCCTAAATCCTGGAAAATGTGCCTGTGAATGTACAGAAAATCCACAGAAGTGCTTCTTAAAAGGAAAGAAGTTCCAACATCAAACATGCAGGTAAAAGATCATCATAAACTGAATCAATTTCTCTTACTGGAAACATAATGTTCTCAACCAAAAACAGGTTTCTATTTTGTTTTGTTTTATTTTGTTTTTAAACTTAAATGTCATTTGCTTGGTACCATGAGGCCATTGAGTTGCATAAGACAAATTCTGATATTTTTAGCCAATGCCAAACATTTACGAGATTAGATTTGTTCCCAAAAATGTGAGACAGGGGCCTTGACACAAACAGACCCAAGCCCACAATACATTTTAAATACGTGTCCCAGACATTAAGGTGCTAGCTCAGTGTGAGGTAGAAGACCTGAGAAGCATTTTTGTAATACACCCACGCAATCCACACCTGTCCTCACCAAATATTATGACACCTCCAGATGTAGTTTATGGCAACTGTTCTAAGTGTAGAAAACTTTTATGTAAAAATTACAAACAATGGATAGGACAGTCCCATTTATGATAGAATTATATCTAGAAATGAACATTTTAAGCTAAAAATGCAATGATTTAGAGAAATTAATTTGTTAAAGGTTAGTCCGGATTCATTTTTTTCCTTTTTCACAAACTTATTTATTCCTTCCTTTTTCATAAACTTATTTATTCTGATGACATGGAAGTTGTGACAGCTGGATCCCACATGCCTGTGCAGTTCGAGTCCCAGACCTGGTGGGTTGAAAAACATGCTAAGTCTCAGGGACCAGCAGTTAACGTAATGGCTATGTCACTGAACTCCCATGTAGCCAACCACGGTTCGAGTCCCGGACCTGGTGGCTTAAACTCACGCCAGGCGCGTGTGCGTGCGTGCCCAAGATCCCAAGAGGAGAATGGAGGAGAAGGGATTGTAGCATGGCCATCACCTCTGAAGGGCGATTTCTCGTTTTCTCTCTCTGTTTCTGTCTTTCTGGCGAGCGCATGTGCCCTATGGCAAAAACCTCTCAAAAAAAAAAAAATGCTAAGTCTGCATGCATAGCGAAAATCTCAAGGGCAGAAATGGAGGAGAAGAGGTTGTAGCATGACCATCCCCCCCTGGGGAGGGGGTGATTTCTCATTTTCCTTCTTTCTCTCTGTCTCTGTCTAGAGCATGCACCCTCTAGCAAACTAAAACAAAGAACTTTTTATTTTTCTATGAATGTGACAAAGGTGGTGGACACCTCCAACAGGGTCTTTGCAACTGGGTCTAACCCAGTCCTGGATCATGGACAGGTGTTTGTGCCTGGTGTGCTCAGGAAGAGGGTGAGACTCAAACCCAGGAACTTTCCCATGTGGGTCCAGTTGTGTTATCATGGCACCACCTGGCCCCAAAACTCTTTTCTTTTCCATTTCTTTTCTTTCTCTTTCTTTCTTTCTTTCTTTTTCTTTCTTTCTTTCTTTCTTTCTTTCTTTCTTTCTTTCTTTCTTTCTTTCTTTCTTTCTTTCTTTCTTCCTTCCTTCCTTCCTTCCTTCCTTCCTTCCTTCCTTCCTTCCTTCCTTCCTT